GGATTGGACGCATGGACAGCGTGCTTGGTAACTGTACCACTTGCTACAGTACCACGTATCCATTTCTATCGCTGCAATGCATGAAACCATATGCCATTATTGCTCCCTGGTATTCGAGATTCCCTCGAAGTTCTTTTCAGTTCCCAGGATTATGAGCGCTTTCGATGATCCTTGTATTCCCTCAAAGTTCTTTTCAGTTCTCAAGATTATGAGCGCTTTCGATGATCCTTGTGAAGGCGGTCGTCCATTAGCCATCCATCGAATTGTGCCAATAAATCTTCCGCGACATTGCCCTTTGCTGACCCGATGCTAAAGTCAGTGCGCGCTACACGTGTTCTTGATCGATGTTTCTCTTCAAATATGAACTTTGTAACCAAGAAATGGCAGGATAAATCCGCTGACCCGAACGAGAGTGAATCCATGATTTCTCAAACCCTTTGATGAGTGAAGGGTTCCATCAAGTCTCAGACTGGCTCCTGCTCGGGCCATCCCTGTGTTACACCCTTCCGTCCAACTAACTGGTAGCAGATCCTTCCGAGAGGAAAAAATCACTTGCATACGGCCGTTCCGCCTAAAGGCCCTGTATCGTTAAAATCTATCCAACAATTCTCTGGAATTTGAGAAACGCGGCGCATCCCACAAAGGACGAAATCGGCGCTGAACCCCCATCCTTTTACGCTTCAACATTTACTAACATTACCACCCCAAGATTCACGTCCTCAGTCAGGGCACGTCGTACGGTAGGAGCCCCCAACGAGGAGGGTCCTTTCTGGTCGCTGGAAGGAGGGGAAGGGTCGTATTCGCCTTCGGGAAAAATGTGCTATACCTTGACTGACCTTTCCTCGGTTTTCCCTGTCCAACTTACTAGCATCCTTCCCCCCCCTCTGCTAGTGTTTTTTTTTGGGGAAAGCTGCGGAAATTCCGAAAAAAAAGCTCCGGGAAGGTGGTAGGTAGGACGTGGTGGTGAGGTAGCATCAAACGGGAGATTTTGAACGGAGTTGTATTTTGCAAGGATTTTTCTCCAACGGCAGGAAGTATTACATCGATACCCCTTGCCAGGTTTTAGCACTTGCGCGAAACATTCGTAGACCATTCTGTACGCCGTGCTTTTTTTCATCCATCGGCGGCCATGGTTATCATTGAGGTCAACGCGGCTGCGCCTCATAAACTCATTTTCCTTTAGTGGGGAAGAGATTGGCCGATCGCTCGCGACAGATCGTCTAGTCGGATAATTTCCCCTTTCCAATCTTACATTAACCTTCATTCCACGTTTTACAGTACTTTAGTCTCGCCAACATTAATTAATTCATTCAATTATTCATTAAGAGGTTTTAGATTAAATGAGAAGGTCCATTGGCAGCCATGGTTACCTCCAGTAGAGCGACCCCCGCCAAAACTAGCGCACGTAGAACAAATGAGCGCAAGGTGGCCGAAAATAGCGCTGCTAACCACGCGCACGGTCGGAGAATCAAATTTTGAGTCGGCTCCCTGGTCCCCCTTCGCTCCGGCGCCGGATAATTGGAACAAGTCTCTGCGATTTGGCCTATTCGAAAACCTACGGGGATGGGTTTTTTGGATAACAAAACACTTACGTGTACATCTGCTGCCCACTGAAATTCCTTGTAGGGGCCAAAGCATTGAAAAGCTTGGGGTTCTGAGAGGGAGTAGAATGCGTGGCGTATTTCGGAAAGCGATTGAACAAGGTCTAATAATCCACAGTTCCCGACAGATTTGCTGATACTATTACAATAAGAATCTTTTGGCATTATAGTCTGGAAAATGAAGTTTTGGCCTTGTTCGGCCAGGGAGGGGCACTTTTGCATCTTCCTCCCCCTTTTTTGTTGGTTCGTGTTAACAAGCAGGTCTCATTTTGGTGGAACCTGTAAGCTCTTGTGAAGCTTCAGTGGGGTACATAGAACCACTGTTTACAGGTTTTCACAAAGTGACCTTTAAAGGCTTCGCTGAGTATAATTAGTTGCCCCACCAAACTAAACCACACTATTTATTGCTTTTCAAACGGCAGAGAAGCTTTTGCATGGGTGAACCCGTTTCCTTGAAATCCCTACTCACTGCAGTGGCCCTAATTTTGCACAAGGGTTCTGTAGATAGCCCAACTTATCAGGATAGCACTAACTCTAAGCGCGGTGGAGGAAGGGTGGGGTTGGTTGTATTTACTCGAATCTGCAAAGCCGAACGAAAACAACGTGCATGGCGCATTCCTCGGATATTGTTGTGAAGGACTTAGGCCACTCGATTCCAATTTCAGTCTCCTCCTGTTCTAAAAGCGCCATTGAGGAATTAAACTCCTGATAACTGTAATCACGTTGGCGCTCCCTAAAAGATTACATTCTTAGTTCATTTGTGATGCTGTAGTTATTTTCTGTGTCTTGATAAGAGGACTGAATTTGATAAAGAGGGACAATTTGTGCAGACTGATTAATTTCCCGGGTTAGGGCACACCCTTAAGCCTGAAAAACACTTGCAAAAGAACTCCACCCTACAAAATTTCGCGACCCCCTTTAGCCGTCTACCTTCATCGGTGCCACTTATTCCCAAGAATTATGTCATCATCAAGCAGGAAAGGGGTGCACTAGCGCCCCTGAAGCGGAGAAAATCAGCAATTTGAAAATGTTTATGAGGTATCATACGAACCTCCCCTCTGGTTGCCAAATTAGACCCACGTTGTCTCATTGATGATGTGCACTAAGGCGGATTTCCGCATAGATTTTTTGGGTCAAATGTTGAGAGGTATTTGAAGGATTAGCCTGGAACTGCTGTAATGTGAACCTTTTTCTACAAAAGTGCATTTTTTTACAAAAGTGCAAGGTTTTTTACATATCCAAGAGCTGCTGCCCTCCTCGGCTGAAGCTAAAGTCCTTCTTTACGGCGGGTATTGCGGAAGGATTCATTTGCACCTCCCCCTCCCCCCACTTAGCCAAGTTGCTCCTTTTTTAGCCAATGCACGTCGTACATTGGGGATTCCCGGCGAAGGGTCGCATCTAACTGCTGGAGGATAGACGTATCTTGTCTCTGAGAAAAATGTTTTTGATTGTCAACTTTTCTCAGTATTTCCCCATGTATGCATATAGCTGAGAAAAAATGCAGGAATTTTTGCGAAAAAAAATCAGGAAGCTTGGTAGGAAGTTAGGGAAATTCGGGAAGATGGTGAGTACCATGAGGTAGGATGGGGGATAGGGAAGTAGAGAGAGAGGGAATCTTTGGGGGGTGGGCATATGTTATGCAAAAATTTTCCAAAACGGCAGGGCGTGTCCCGTTTCTGGCTCATTTCTATAGGAAATTGGTAAGCGAGCCGGTTGTCATGGAAACCCATAGGCCTAAAAATCATCTGTGATTTATGAGCGCCATAACCAATTTCACCCAATTTCTCGACCCGACCCGAGGATTAATCGCATCCGAATCGAACATTTTCGAAGATGTTGGTGGTTTCGGAGAAAACACCACCCATTCAGATAAAATTCTCTCGTCATGGCACGTCGACCGTTGGGGAACGTCTAGCAAAGTATGACCCCTTCGAACTCTCATCCTTACGATTCCCCCACAGGGTACAGCTTATTGATGTGGGAAATGGTGGTGCCAGTACGACCCTGTCGAGGGAGGACCTCGGTACGACCCTACCCCTTCCCGACACCTACCTACCATTTTCCTACATTTTTCAGTTTTTTTTCACTTTGTCACCCAAAAGAAACGGGAAAATTTCTTAGATCTTCCCTGACTTCCTACAATTTTTTCCGGGATTCCCGAAATTTCCCTACTTTTACCCAAAAATTTTGTTAACGGGGGAGGGGCGAGAGGGTATATACTAGACTAACACGAAAAACCACGCGAAAAGTCAACAACCCAGAAAAATTTTTTTCTCAACGCAGCAAAGTTCTCTCAGATCTACGTACGACACCCCCCCTCTCCGAACTACCACCAAATACGACCCCCTCCCTAGCCAAAATACGACCCCTATGTGTTTCACACAACGATGCTGTACCCTGTTCCCCCTCTTCCTCATTCTACCTACGTTTTCGTATTTTTTCCTGGCGTCCTACTTCTCCGAAGTTTTTTTTAAAATATCTAGAATTCAAAATCTCCCCCACTTTCCTCCTAAGAAACCAGAACTACTGGCGAGCAGGCAGCAGTATGAAATCAGTGAAACGGGAAATTCAAGAAAAGCAACCGATCAAAAATCCCCCCCAAGGAAATAGCACCCCCTCGCTCCGCCAACCGAATACGACCCCTTCGCTGGGTGTCCCACCATACGAAGTACCCTATCTCCCGTTCACAAGTACGAGCTCCCGTTCGGGAATGTTGCTTTCGGTATGTTTGCTCGCTCGGTGGTCGTCGTCGTTGTGGTGGGTCGTCGTCGGGGGGTGGTCGGAGCGATGTTTGAGTATCGATTGATGGCTATCTCTATGTGCTCGCCTAACATAATGGTTCCCGTAACCTTTCTAATTTTACCCTTCCTTCTGAAAATTCCTCTATTTAACTTCACTCTAAAAATCCTGTTTTGAAATTCGCGGCGCTTCCATCGATTTTTCCACGGTTTTTCCGCGGCGCATCATTGCCGTAGGTCAAATTTCGCTCGGACTCGTTGTTTTTCGCCCGCGCTCTTTCTCCCACTTGGGAATGATTTCTCCGTCCTTAGTAAGTTCTTTCTTTCATATACCTCATTGGTTTATTATTATTGATAAGTAGAGCTAGTGATTAAGTGCTGCTTAATTAGGTATAATTGCCTTTGGGTGTTTTATCACTTTCGAATCCCAATGGCTTACCCTGCTCATATCTATCGGTACTGTTGACAGATATATTACTGTACTTTAAAACTTTAGTTTTATTATTTTACTTCAGAATCATGTATTTTTGAATGTTACACATTGAACATAAGGAGGGACCAGAAGTTTATTCCAGAGAAAATTCAACCAAATTTAGAAAAAAAGAGGACTTTTTAGAATTATTTTGCAACGAGGTTTTTCATGTCGAGAACTTCAGGTCCTAACGAAGCATTCGGTATTGCATAATATTAGTAGTTCACCTACTGAAGACTTACCTTGCGACTCCATGCTGCGGATAGTGGCGTTCATTTGAACCTGTAGTTGCTAGATGATTCTTGAGGGAATAAAGAAGGAAAAAAATTGTGGAGGACATCCTCAGTAAGACCCCTTGCCCCTCTGTACGAGATTTCCGGACCTGCTTTTTTTGCGGTATCCTGCCGCCTCTGGCTCATCAATTGTTTCTTCGCGTCATCCAGCGATAATACCATCTAACAGTTAAAAAAATCGGAAAACGCGGCATAAAAATTGAACTCGTGACAGAAATTGACGTTTGAGTTTCTAGTGGACGGGGCAACTAGGGAGGCGTCAGAACTGCCACGCCACTTATGTTCACTACAGCGCCTCCGCTACTTCTGTGAACCACGAAAGTGGGGAAAAGCTCAAAAACTGAGGGCCACGCTAAGTGCAACGGAGGACGCCTGCGAATGGGTAGAGCGCTGCATTTGAATCTTATGAGGCCCCTAAATAGCATAATATTGATGTTCACTTTTGTTCATTTCCTCTTATTCTTTTACAATAATATTTTGTTAATGTAAAATGTTTATGTTGTTTTTTTCAATATTCATGTCCTTTTATGGATGAGATGAAAATGGCAAACGCTGCGGTTTTGCCGCGTTCAAAATGAATTTCGGGAAATATTGATTGCTCATTCCGAAAAAAGAAACGTTTGTTCAGTGCGAAAGATCTATTAAAGAATTATTGATCCATGGATTGTTTTACTGACTCGTTTGTATTACTAGGGAATATCGCGCATTGATTAGGGGACGTATCTCCCCTTATCTTTGTTCGAATCGCTCTGATATGGATGAACGCTCACACGGCCATCAGTTTCTTACGAGTGGCCATTCACGTTAGGATTCTTTTCTGTGCCTAGGTAAAAACCTGGGCTATTTCTTTGAAGCGCTTGTCCCGTGAAATATAAGTATGAATTTGGCAGTTGTATTGTAGCTCAGTTGTACATTTACTATATTTTATTTTTTTTTGTACTGGTCTCGGGGTATTTGTCGCGGGCTAAGCCTCTCCGTGTTTCTTTTCCTCCCTCTCTTCTTTCTTCCCTCGTTTATTCCTAAAGACTGGGGCCAAACCAAGTGCCAAGCGAACGTGCTAGTTTTGTGCTGGTCCCGCGCAGCCAGAGAAATCATGTCACCCTTGTAACCCAACGAAATGAGGTTGTGTTTCGATGCGCTCCAAATCGAACGCGCAATTGGGAAATATTCAATAGAATCGATTACAACCTGCCCTCAACTGCTTCTGGGGTGACATAATTATAATCATTGTTATAGACCATCTTGTATTCATAACGTCTTCCTCAGCCCGTGGTTCTGGTTTCTTGCATGGATCTTTGCCCGCAATATCTCCTTGGGTTGGGGTTACCCTAGGTTCACCTGCCCAAGAGCTCCTTTCCCCTCTAGATTAAGGCAGAAAGCTCCGTCTCTGTTGGGATTTTACCCGAGGAGTTTTAAGCGTGGCAAAAGAAACATGTGAAAGCTAGCATGCAGGATTCTATGGGGTGTTTCCCATGCCTCAGTATTTAATTATTAATGAAAGTAGTATATTGTTAAATTGTAATCATAAGTGAAAACACAGGTTTGAGTCTGTCCATTTGCCGAAGGCGGTTGTCATATAATTTGGCAGATTCCTTCTTTGAAGGTTCTTTACTCTGACCTAATATCTCACAGTTGGCAGTTATTTGTTTTTAATGATTCTCAAGTTTTTTTTTCCTCAACGTTTTCACCTCTCAGGAGGATATATACGTTTTCCCTTCTGTAGAAGTCTGCAAACTTCTCAAGACCAAGATTACCACTTTTGTTGGAATTTTCGGTGTTTTCGCCTTCTGTGGAAAAAACGAAAGGCATTGATGAAACCATGGGTCCAAGCGCTACTTAAACCTTAAGGAAGGCAGGCCCGCTTTTTCTGCTACTTCACCTGATTCAAGTGATTCCTCTGCTAAAGCATCGCTCGAACAAAAGTTGTTAGCAATTTTGGGTTCTGAACGAGTTTGCAGACTTATACGGAAGAGAAATATGCCAAGATTCATAGGAAGTCACCCATGGACATTACGGCTTAACCCCCTTTTTAGATGTTGTCCTTCTCACATATCTTGTTTCCTTAATTCACGTTTCGAAGAAGTTCAAAGTTATATCTTTCAGAAGCTGGATCCGGAGGAGATCTTCACCAAACACGAGCGCATTGGGCGCGGCTCGTTCGGTGAAGTCTACAAAGGAATCGACCGGCGAACATCTCAGGTTAGTTAATAATAGGTTTCATCCTTTTCGTGGATATTATTTTATTTACTTTCTTGTTTCTACATTTTGGTGAGGTTCAAGGCTTTCAAAAACGAGGAGTGGGTCAAAGCGTTGGTCGAATAAATCTGTCCACCATAACGACCTCGAAAGTGTACAGGAAAATATGTCAGAATATCAAGTTTTCGAGAGGAAAGGAGTCAGAATCTACTCTAGATTTTATAAACTGTTTTGGCTTGCTACCGCAGGAAGTTATGAGATTCAATACCGCCCCACTCTAGTCTAAAAGTTCAGGGAAAGTTGCTAAGATAGTTACCTAGAGGCAGATAGGTAACTAGCTTGTTAAAGGTGGGATCGTGCCTAGGGAAGAACTGGAGAGGGTCGCATCCGGGAAACTTTCGGCAACGTGATGTTGTGTTCTGCTTGGAAATCACTAGGATACTGCTCCTTGTGTCTTTTGCGGTGTTTATGACAAATTCTGTTTATCTTGGATACGTGCACTTACGGCTACCATACAGATTGGTTTTCCATCTTTCTTTGTCATCCCATTTCTGGGTGTATTGTTCGAGAGTAGTTGCGAAAAATGTTTTCCATGGGCACCCCGTTTGTTTCTCACCGAATTTATTTAAGCAGAATATGAATTTTGTCTTTTTCCCTAAAGATTTTTCAACTGTTCTGCCACGACGGATATTTCTGCGATTTTCTCAGCTGAAAGCGCTCTCAGCATTTCTTGTTCTTTTTGGAGATTCGAGGTGGTTGGAAGTGTGGTCCTAGCGTGGGTGGAGAGGAAAAGAAATGTCTACACTTGCATTTATTTTGATCTTTTTTTTTGAGAATCTGCGAGGTTAAGTCACGAATTCTTGACCGATTTAGGTTGTTGCGATCAAGATCATAGATTTGGAGCAAGCTGAAGATGAAATCGAGGATATCCAGCAAGAAATCCAGGTACAGGCTTTTGAGCATTATTTTTCAACTAATTTTTCTGCTCATCTTTTTGATCAGGGTCATTGTTTTACCCGTATCGAAATCATTCGACTTTCTGCAGTTATTCTTTGTAGGTGCTCAGCCAATGTGATTCCCCTTATGTGACGAAGTATTACGGGAGCTACTTAAAGGTATGTACTGCCTTATCTTGAATCGCTTCGCTCTTTCTGATTACTGTTTACTTAGAG